AAGTCCTCCACGAAGGCAAATTTCACCCATTACTTGATCCAGGAATTCTTTTGTCTCTGAATTGGGTTCACAATTACAAAGCTACGGAGTTGAACATCAGTAGTCGTAAGCCCAAAAATTGGATTGGCTGTTCAGAAAAGGTTATAAAAATAAAAATAGATTTGAATAGAACTCTATTTAAGTGTCACAAATATTAATTTCCAATCAGTATAGCGTAAAGTTAAAATCAGCTTCATCTTAAACAGTGTTTGATAAAGCTGATTATAAGGAGCTGATGCTGTACTAAAGAAAAAAAATCAGCAGTCGTAAGAAAATACTACACCGTTGAACAGGAAATAAAAATTTTGGTAATATGATTTGGTTTCCAAATGGTTCGGTTAATCGAAACATATGAATATGAAAGCTGAACAGGAACATATTTTAAGTAACTGCATTGCTTTTTTGTCGTATGGTTTGATGAAGCAAAACTTATGAATATGAATTTATGAATTACTTATGAGTGTTCTTATGAATATAAGAGGTTTTATTTTTGTTCCGACTGAAGTCCTTGAATAGAAAAAAGCACCAACTAGACCAGCACCTTACTTATGAATAGTTTATAAAACATGCAACATGTTATTTATTCCACTAAATGAAACACATTTCTTAGATGTGCTATGTTTATGTTAAACTGGTCCTTTTATTTTGCTAAATAGGATGTAGGTTTCAGACATGTTAATTTTTTATTAAGTGTAACGTATTTATTACATTTTAAGATCGAATTTTTTTTATTCAACGAAGTTAGTGCATTAGAATTCTTTTTTCTTTTTTTGCAAAAAAAGTAACGGTTGGAAATCACCATAACTTTTACACCCAACTAATAATAACACAGGTAATTCTTTTGCAGAAAAATTGCACCGAATTTCAAAGAGATAGTATTGTATTCCACAAGAGTGTTTTTACATAAACGCTTTGAAGCATACATTCTTACATAAGCACATTTACATAAACACTTTAATAATCAATTTAGCACATTTTATTTCAAAAAACACATTAATTTTCAATTTTTATTCACTTCTTTCCCATTCCCATCATTCCCCTAATCGCTTCGGCTACACGAGCCCCAAAGTTCGCAGCTGCCCCCAATCCAGCAGTGGCTCCAAAATTAACACCAGCATTCGCTCCAGCTTGCGCAGCGGCTGCTGCATCAGCAGCCCCATTAGCTCCTGCACCTGCCATTCCCATTTGTGGAGCTGCTTCAACAACAAAGATCAGTGCCATGCACAGAACTAAAGTGATAATCTGGAAATAATAAAAAAAAATTAATTAATAATTAAAAAATATTAATAATTTTAAAAAAATTATAATTAAAATTAATTAATAATTTTAAAAAATTTATAATTAAAAATAATGAATAATTAAAAAAAAAATTATTTATTATTATCAACAATTAATAAATAATTAATAATAGTAAGTCAAAATTTTTGATGGTCCCATCAAAAATTTTTGATGGTTTATGTTGGTTTCACTGCGACTCATGATTGCTCAACATCATTTGATGCAAACTACGGTAAACAACGTTTAGGAGCACAAAAATATTTATAAATGCAGACAGCTGTTTGGGATGCTCAAAGGGCAACCTTCATCAGTGCAACAGGCCACCATCATTTTCTATGACGTGTCCATGATTTTTGATATGCCGACAAACTTCCATCATTCTTTGATGGAAAACGTTATTTTAAAACTATGAGGGTTAACCATCAAGGGAAGTTTGATTCTAATGGACCAACAATCCATGATGATCCGTGATGGTTGCAATTATACATTTCAATGATAGTTTAATGGAAATTATTGTTGGAATATACCATCAGAAACAGTTTGGTTTTTTTATGTCAGAATTCCTACATTGGGGGTGATGGTAGTGCACGATAGTTCCAATATTTGATTTCTAAGATGCGATGATGGAAATTCGTGATGGTTCAACAAGAACAAACCATCAAAACAAGTTGCTATTCTTATGTTGGACCATCATAAATCAGTAAGAATTCCTACATTGGAGTGATGGTTACTTAGGTTGACTACCAGCAAAAAATATAATGGTTCATGATAAAATTATTGATGGCTACCTTCAAGATTATGTTGGTCCATCATTAAAAAACATCAAAAATTTTGACTTGGGTTATAACCATATATGGCAACGTTACTTTTAAAAAGTAACGAGTAAAAGTACAAGTATTTTTAAGAAAAGTAACGAGTAAAAAGTTCTTATTTTAAAAAGTAGCGAGTAAAAAATACAAGTAGAAGTACAAGTACTAAACAAAAAAGTAACGATTTAAAAGTACATTTCTAGGAAATCGAAAATTCAAAGTAACCTAAAATTTTATTGAATAATATTCTTATGTTCTTTAATGTTTTTGAAAAATTGTTGTTATTTATTTAATTAATTTTAATTCTGAAAATTATGGACATTAATTTATTTTTAAATTCGGAAGAATATTATAATATAATTTTATAATATAATCGTATAATATAATTTTAAAATCAAATATAATTTTAACATCAAACTTTTTATGGATTTGCACGAAAAAGAAATTTTATCTATTGATTTTAATTTTTAGTTTATTATTTTTATTTATTTAAATTACCATTGATTTAAAATTGTTTTACTCTTTAGAAACGCGTTTTAAAAGCACAAACATAAACAAAGCAAACACGGGGTTTCAGATAGCTTTGTGATCTTTGAGCTAGTAAAAAATAATTGAATGTGCAGTATAAGTTGAAACAGAACAGTCTACAGTTTTATTTGTAACAATGGCTAATGCTGAAGTCATGCGAGAAAATCATTTTCCGAACATTTCTGCCTAACGGAATAATTAAAATTTGTAAACGAATTTTAGTATCAGCGGCTAAATTAATACCTTCGAGTTTTCAAGAGTTAAAATAGTAATTATAATAGTTTTCAATAGCACAAATAGTTCTGAAGTTCTTAGAGATTTGACTGGGCGTTGTTTGACAAGGTCGGGCATAAACATAATTTTAGTAAAAAATGTACTAGGTAAAAATGTATTTAGTAAAAAATGTATTAAGACAAAAATGTATTATTAGTGAGTTCAAAAAGAAAATTGAAAAACGTAATAACAAAATCCAACATTTTTTATTTAAAATGTATTAAATAAATGCATAAAACTCGAAAATGAATGAAAATAACTTGCTAATTAATATTTTTATTCATTTTGCAAAATAATTGCATTTCGAAAGTGGTGTCACTGAGTCTGCTGCGAGAATTTCTCAGAACGTGCTTAGCCACGCTGAATAAGCGCTCCACGGGAGCACTAGAAGGTACTGCAGTATTATATTTCACATATAATTTTTTTACGATTGGATATCGATTCAAAATTGATATGCTTTCCGTTTCGACATTTGAGCTCATGTATGCCATAAATTCTTCTGTCGCTGGTGATTGGCATGATGTTTTCAGCTTTAGAAAATTTAAAATCCCTGGGTTTTTTTCTGTTACGTTATTAGTTATAGCAGGGTGTTCAGCTTGGACAATTCTTTCCAATTTTTCTGTAGCCTCCTCCCTAGCTTTTTCTTCCAACCAATTAAATTTGATTCAAGATACCAGACCTGCAGCAAACAATAAATCGTCCTGCGATTTCACATCGCGAAACCATCTAGAAGAGCTTTGTTTAAAGGCTTTGTTTTTACAAACTGTTGTTTTAATAATGTTACTATGAAGCTCTTCTTTAAAAGAGCCGTCTTTTCCCTTTCATGAATGACAATTTTAAAAGGTCAAGGTATTTAAGCGCGAAGTTAGCTGTGAATGCATATATATTGCACATTAATTTTATAAATTAAAAAAAACATAAGCATTTTTTTTACTTAATTAATTTTTTTAAATTTTTTTTAGAAAGCTTTCCTAGTTTTAGAAAAAAATAACGATTTCATTCGACATTTCCGTTACAAATACTTGTACTGTTTCCCAAAAAAAGTAACGAAAGTACAAGTAAAAGTACTATAGTTAAAAAGTACCGAAGTACAAGTAAAAGTGTGTACTTTTTACTTGTACCGGCGGTACAAGTAACGAAAGTAAGAGTACTGTCATATATGGTTATAACACGAATGGTATAAATAAAATTAAAGAGCAGTGACTTAATATTAATCTTCTTTCTTCACTCTGAGAATTTTTCCACGTGCTGACCGGCAATATTATTCAAATTTGCTGTTACCCCAGTTGAACCAACCATATTATCGTATTTCTTAAACTTAACCAGATCTAGCCCAATACTTGATCCAGGAGCTCCCTTGTCTTCCGGATTGGGTTCAAAATTACAAGGACACGGAGTTGAATATTAGTAGTCGTTAACTCAAAATTGGGTCGGCTGTTCAACGACGGTTATAAAATAAAAGTTCAAACTCATACCTAGCCATGTGATTCAAATTTGCCACAATTTGAAAATCGTGATAAGTTTAATTTAATTATACTTTTTAAATCTAACTATATTAATGTTCATGCTTGATCCCATCTCAATATAATGTTTTATAACCGTCGTTGAACAATCTACCCGATTTTTGGGTTTACGAATACTGATAATCAAGTCCGTAGTCTTGTAATTTTGAACCCAATGCAGAAGACAAAGGAACTCCTAGATCAAGTATTGGGAGAAAGTTTGCTTTCGTGGACGACTTTTTGATGGAACTAACCTGCATTTGTGTTACATGGAAAAGAAGACCACGAGAACCTCCCACGGTTAGTCTGACTGCAAAAGGATCTAACCCATGATCTGTCTATCACTGAAGATATTTTGCGACAGTACTGTGGTCGGTGCAAGCTGGATGCGGTTTTGTATAGACCAGTCATTGCTGGGATTCGAACCCGGTTCATCTCATCAGAAGGCGAATGCTCTATCCCCTGAGCCATCACGGCTCTTCAATATACTGTTTTATTTTATTTTGTAACCGTCGTTGAACAGCAGACTTAATTTTGGGTTCACAACTACTAATGTTCAACTCCGTATCCTTGTAATTTTGAACCCAATCCAGAAGACAAGGGGGCTCCTGGATCAAGTACTGGGAGAAATTTGCCTTCGTGGAGGACTTTTTGATGGAACTAACCCACATTTGCGTTACATGAAGACGAAGACCACGAGTACCTCCCACGATTAGCCTGCCGGCAAGGGGACTCATGATCCGTCTACCACTGAGGATATTTCACGCCAGCACTGTGATCAGTGCAAACCGGATGCGGAATTCGTATCGACTGGAATTCGAACCCGGTTCACCTCATTGGAAGGCGAACGCTCCATCTCCTGAGCCATCGCGACTCTCAGTATAGTGTTGAATTAAACTTTTTTTATCGTACTTCTAAAACTTGATTACACGATATTACATTTCAGCTTGAAAGAAAACATTCTTCTGTTTAACGCCTAGTTAAGATTGCTTCAAAATTGGACCTTATTGTTGCTTCAGTTACTGATATTATGGTTCAACGTTAAAGCAATTTTTTTGAGAATGTTGTCAACCAAATAAATCATGCCACTAAAATTCATTAACAATTTTCAAATATTTATGCTTATAAACCAGTTATCGTTGTCAACAATACTCCAAACAGAAAAAAAGTTTTCTGAAAATATCTTCCTTGTAATAAGGATATCAGAAAGACAAATATAAAATCAAGGCCACCAAAGATTAGAATTCAAATCAACCGAATTTTGTGGTATATTTGAATTCTAATCCCAGCTCACACCGTGCGAAATGGAATACCGTAAAATAGCCTCAGTGGTTATGGGTCAGCGTTCCTTTGCCGTAGAGTAGAGTTTACGGTAAGATTTTGGAGGTTTTCCTTTCCATGTTACGAAAGTGTTTATTAGTCCCCTCAAAAAATTCACCACGAAGGCGTTTCAGGAGTTTCTTTGTCTTCTGGGTTCAACACTACGGAGTTGAGAACTTTGATGCAATAAACTCAGAAATCGATCGGTTTTCTAATGCTGGCTATGAAGTTATATAAAAAATAAAAACACATATACAAAATAGTTGTAGCGTGTTCAGCTATAGTGCGTAAAGGGTTTTTTCAATTTAATGCTGCAACAATGCATTAGTATTTCAATCGTTAAACTAGCAGATAACTATCATTCAGATGTGACAACTTTACCGGAAAAACGCGTTCTTTCATTTTGCGAGGGCAAAGTTGAGAAAGTGAGATTTTGACTTTCAAAACTGGCCAAATTTCATAAATCGTTTTTCGCACATAAAAAAATATCATTTTATGGTTCAAATTTCAACTTATTTTTTTATTGCAGATTTTATTAACCCATGGTTCATATGACGCAAATTTCATCGATATTCATCGCCGTCTATCAGAAGAAATTATATATGGGTCTAAGTCCCCACAAAGTTTGTTAGATCCGCCTAGAACAATACAATGTGGATCTTTCAATATATTCACTGCATATACAAATACAACCAAATAGTACATTGCATTAGAATACATTACGAGTGAAAAATTTATGTGAAAATAATTTCGATTGTTATTTAAGCTACTTAAAAGATGTTATTTAAGCTACTTATATGAACAAAAAGTCAATTCCTACTTTTGGCCAACAAGGAAAATACTCATTTTAGTTACTTTTTATTAAATAATTATAATTTTTTCTGTCATATAAAACTAAAATTAATTGATTAAACTTAATAAATGAATTAATATTTGAAAAAACTGTCTTAACATCAAGTGTCTGCAAGTTTCAAAAAACGTATTTGAGCTTGAGTGGATGATTAAAAAGTATTTTATGAACGAGAACTAATAGTAGGAATTGGATAAAAAAAAAGGCGTAGTATAGGAGCCTTAGCTCAAATGAATCGTGAAAACGCGTAGGGCTTGCAATTGGTGCGTGAAAAAAAAGCATTTGAAAATATGAAACTAAGAAAACAGTTCATCGAAATCTTATTTGACATTGAATTGAAACAATACAAATGTTTCATTAAATAATGTAAATGAATATAAATTTACAAACATAATATTAATTTTGCAAATAAGAATAAACCATTTCATATATGTTTGAGCCTAATTAAAAATTATTATTTTTGATTAATTTATAAGTCACTACTATAAATTCTCTTTTAAGACTGCTTTGCAAATAAAAAATAAATATCTTTTCTTATTTGCATTCGTTGATCAGCTATAGAAATAGGCAGAACATTTAAGAATGCATTATCCTAAATTCACCGGTTTATCAAACCCAGATGCTTCATTCAAATATCAACCTTTCTAAAAACAAAAAATTTATTTATTAGATTTCAAAAGGTTTAAAATCAAATGATGTGAGAAAACTTGCGTATAATTTATAAAAACGAAAGATTGGAATACCGTGAATTAAGAAATCAAATCATCTAAATCTTATTTTATTCTGCTAATGTATTTATTTTTTCATAAAATAAATCATGTATGTTTCTAAAGGCAAGAATAATTTAGACAGAGAAAAAGTAAAATTTTTAAAACCTATTTCTCTTTCTTTTAATATGTGAAAATATTAAGAATTGCTCATATAAACTCCTGAGTAATTGATCTCAAAAGTAGCTAAATTCAAATAAGAGCGCAAATATTTGCATGTATTTGTATGCTATCAATGTAATGAACTTATATGTTCAAAAATGTTAATAGTTGTTAATTAATTTTTTATATTCCAATAGTTGAACAAATTTCAGATTTTTCAAATTGATATTTTTAGTTTGTTAGCGATTTGTCTTCGATATCTTAAATATAAATTCTTTGATTGGATTCAGTTATCTTTAAGTTATAAAAATATTTCTGAAAACTTCCGCACAAACAGCCGAATTTATTTATTAAAATGAATCAACTGAAGAAATTAAACTTAATAATCTTAGAATTAACATGCGAATTCATTCTTCGTTGCTTTAAAGCTATTAGTAATAAAAGTATTTCTTTTTTATTTTTGAAATAATACTTGATCTTTCATTAACACATTCTTTTTAAAAACATATGTGTGTTCAAAATCAGTATTTATAAATTATAAAAGTAGTTAATTTTAAAAAAAAATTACAAAATATTTCTACAGACGTTTTTCAGCAAAATGAATGTGAAATAAAAATTGTGATGAGCTTAATAATATTAAAATAAACTTCTAAACAAGGATAAAAGAAAACTCTTTTTTAATCCTTCAAAGAATTTTTTGAAGAAAGACTACCAAAAAAACTGCTAAAAAAGCTGCCTTGAAATAATTTTCTGAAGAAATTCTATTTATATACATAAAATTGTGTGTAAATTTTAACTGAAAATTGAAATATATCTGTGCGAAAATATAATTTATAAAAAGTTAGTCAGGAATGTTTGATCAAATTTAATCTATCAAAGTAAATTCAATAAATTAAGTCGCTTTCAAAAAAGGAAAATATTTGTGTTCCAATTTTTAACTAAAAAATCATTTTGCTTGGAAATACTTTTTCAATAATTCTATTTGAAAGTTTGACGGAATTGAATTTTTTTTATCGAAATGAACGAAAAAAATTTATATGCTTCATAAGATTAGAATAAACTTAAAAATAATGAAAATATTTTTGTATGAATTTTGATCTAAAAACAAAATACCTTTCAAATATTCAACTTAAATATACAAAAATCTTTCATAAAAACAAATCTGGAAAAGCAAAATTTAAAACTTCCTGAATTTCGAATAATTCTTTTTTAAAAAAAAGGAAAGTTTTTGTGTTTATTGTACTAAAAAGAAAGTTTTTTTTTAAAATTCAACTCAAGCTTTCTACAAAAATCTTTTATCAAAATACATCTAAAAAACGGAAATTTAAAGTACTTCTTGAGCTTGAAATAAACTTACCAATGCTTTCTCCATTGTTATATTGTTTTACATATATCTAAAAAAATATTTCTTTTTATATACCGAAAATATTATTTTAAAAAGCGGCTTGTTTGTACATTAATTTTAAACAGAATGATTTAATATCAATTAAAATAAGTCGTTGTAAACCATCCGGATTAAAACAGTACTGATGCGCAAACTACGTTTATAGTAATTATCTATTGTTCCATTGTTTTCTTTTTACTTTGCTTAAAAAATAAAGGTCCCTTTACACAGATGAGGATGAGAAAAAAACAAAGAAATATTAATCGAATTACAACGCAGAAACGTTTCTTTCATATTAAACCAGACGCAATAAACAATATTTTTACATCCCCGTGCAGTTTTGAGATTCGCACATCAAGGTTATTTCAGATTTATTTATTATTATAAAACTGTAATTGCTGTTTTGTCATGAAACGTTTCGTTTATGTAAGAGTTTATGAAACGAATTTATACTAAGTAATGAAGAAAAATTTGAATATTCCTCTTTTTATACCAAAAGTAAATTTTTCATCAATCAATTTTTATCTAAATTTAGCTTAACCATTTTTTTTCATACTAATGAACTGTTGAATTATTTTGAGGATTGAGATTGATTCGAAAAAAGAAATTAATTTAGCTTGTTACTTAAAATTAATTTGATTTTTAAAAATCATTTTTATTTTTGGTTGGAATGAGGGTCGGGATTTTTCAAAATTTTATCTCTTATAAAAAATTAGTCTTACAATTCAAATCTTATAAGTAATTGAATTCATAAATTCTGTGTTTATATTTTCAAATGAATTCAATGAAAAAAGATTAAATGAACGAATGCATAATAGAAATTTGTTCCACGATGTTAATCTCGGCACCAAACTTACCTTTACTGATAGATGCAAACGAATTTCTCATCATTGATTCTACTTTGTGAACTTATTAATATATGGTCGTGCAAATCAACTGATTAGTATATGACTGATTAGTATATTTAAGCTCAATCTCTTGTACCATTAAGATTGCATTTTACAATAGTTCGAGAAAATATTTTTTTAGATTAAAAGTTATTAAGGTGTTCCATTTTTTATTTATTTTATGTAACAGTAAAAAGAGCCACCTTTACTTGTAATACCTGGTGGAATTACTATATCGTCCTAGGGGTGGATTAAAATACCCTTCTGGTGGAATTTCACCATATCCTCTTTGTTGTGAATTACCATATCCTCCTGGTTGTGGATTGCCATATCCTCCTGGTTGTGGATTACCATATCCTCCTGGTTATGGATTACCATATCCTCCTTGCTGTGAATTACCATATACTCCTGGTGGTGGATTACCATATCCTCCTTGCTGTGAATTACCATATCCTCCTGGTGGTGGATTACCATACCAATTTTGTGGATTTTCGTACCGATGTTTTCTCAAGATCAGATTTTCTCAAATAGATCAAATTTTGAGGGGACATTTTTTTAAAAATAACAATGGGCGTAGAGTGTGAAGAAAACCAAATAAATAAGTAACAAGCATATTGGAACCTTAAATATCTTCTTGCCTTTTTTACAATATTAATAATTTCAAAACTTTACTTGAAAAATGTAAATGAATTAGTGGTAACCTATAATTAATTGACTAAATAAAATTTAAAACTCATTTCAACTTGATTAAAATGTGTTTCTGTTTTGCCGAAATAATGAAAAGTAGTTTCTTAATAAACAAAAGTAAAAAAAAGGGCAATTAACTTTAACAAGCTGTCGCAACTTTGAATTGTTATTATTTAAGCAATTTTTTTTAAAAATCTATTATAAATATACAGTCGTAATTTCAAATTTTTTAATATTTACTGCCCATCTGCTTGCTATTTGTGTCCAACCCTTGGGACTGATTTTCTCACATTCTTTTGTAGGGTTTCGAAACCCGTACTCTCTCAATACCTCCTCAGAAGAGAGAAGGTCTCAGAACGGGACACCCTAAACAGGAAATATTATCTTTTATTACTCTAAACCAGTGTTCCCCAACCCCCGGTCCGTGGATCAAATGGTACTGGGTCACCCATTACATTGAAACTGAATTTAAATTCCTAGGTTTGTACCCCAAATTAAAAATATCTGTGTTCTATTAAAATTTTATTTATTTAAAAAAGAGGGCCCCCGAAGGGAGTGACATAAATTTTTTAATGTTTGTAATGTATCTGTCTCCGATTTTCCCCAGATGGAACCGTCTCATTGCAAAGAAACAAGCTCAGGGTTCTCATTAATTTAACATTCTAGTAAGTTAAAATGTTAAATCACTTTATATTTATTTTTTGGTGTGACTGTATTTTATTTTGAAGGCATGCTTAAATACAATTAAATTTAAATTAATAAATCAAAATAGTCTAAAATATAAACAATAAACGCCGCCCTGCGGATCACGGTGAAATCATCAAACGTTGACAGATCCGCAGTGATAAAAAGGTTGGAGAACACTGCTCTAAACGTAATAACATCTTTGCAATAGTCTAAATTTTATCTTATTTTTAACCGTTATTGAACAGCTGATCCAAATGTTTCAGTTTACGACGACTACTAATGTTCAACTACGTAGCCTTGTAATTTTCAACCCAATCTAGAAGACAAAGGGACTCCTGGATCAAGTATTGGGAGAACTTTGCTTTCGTGGAGGACTTAGTGATGGAACTATTTGCGTTACACGAAGAGGAAGACTCTGAGAACCTCTAACGGTTCGCCTGACAGCAAGGGGACTCTAACCTATGAGCCGTCTACCACTGAGGATATTTTACATCAGCACTGTGGTCGGTGCAAGCCAGATTACGGAATTCATATCGACTAGTCCTTGATGGGCTACGAACCCGGTTCACCTCATTGGAAGATGAACACTCTTCTAAATTTCATCTGACGAACATTTCAACTCGGGAATTTCCTATGAATTCTAGTTACTTTTGAAAAAGGATGAACTTCAATGTAATCGTTTGAATATAGACCTGCCCATTGTCTAAATTCAGTCTGACGGAACATCTCAACTCCAGAGGTTTCAGAAATTTTTAGTTACTTTGGAAAAACTCTAAACTTCATTGAAACCGTAATATTATAATTAGCAATCACGACTTATGTAACTGAAATATCCATTTTCTCATTTCATATATTGGCTTTGACAATAAAGAACTGGAGCAACTGTTTGGTACTGCACGCTGCTCAGTATTTTTTTTCCTTTTTACATCCAGATTTTTCTAACGAGGTTTAACAATTCAAAAGGCCTATTTTAAAGTTCCCATGGAAAGTAGAAACCTCATTTTTTAGTAAAGAAAATCTTAGAATTAAAGAAGTACAAACTTGTTTTCATTTTTAAATAGATTAATAAGTATTCACAAAGAAGGCAGAGATATTTTAGATAAATAAAATTCTCACTATCTTTATTATGTCGCTTACATGAAAAAAGATTAACAAAGAAAAATGTAACATATGATTTATATGAACAATGTATGCATATATTAACCATCAAATAAAGAGAAAGAGTCTTTTGTGTTATTTTCATTTTATTAAATTTATTTTCCTATAGATCTACTCCAGATTGTCCATTTTTAGTAGTTGTTCTATAACCTCCAGAATTAACCTCTAAATGGGGGTCCACCATATCCACCTTGGGGTGAATTACCATATGTTCCTGGTTGGGGATTACCAAGTGGTCTTGGTTGTGGATTACCATATGCTCCGGGTGGTGGATTACCATATGTTGTTGGTGATTGATTACCGTATCCACCTTGAGGTGAATTATCATTTGTTCCTGGTTGCGAATTACCAAGTGGTCTTGGTCGTGGATTACCAAGTGGTCTTGGTCGTGGATTACCAAGTGGTCTTGGTCGTGGATTACCATTTACTCCGGGTGGTGAAATACCATACGTTGTTGGTGATTGATTACCATATCCACCTTGGGGGGAGTTACCATATGTTCCTGGCTGCTGATTACCATATGCTCCGGGTGGTGGATTACCATATGTTGTTGGTGATTGATTACCGTATCCACCTTGGGCTGAATTATCATTTGTTCCTGGTTGCGAATTAGCATGTGGTCTTGGTCGTGGATTACCATTTGCTCCGGGTGGTGGATTACCATACGTTGTTGGTGATTGATTACCATATCCACCTTGGGGGGAATTACCATATGTTCCTGGCTGCTGATTACCAAGTGGTCTTGGTCGTGGATTACCATATGCTCCGGGTGGTGGATTACCATATGTTGTTGGTGATTGATTACCATATCCACTTTGGGGTGAATTATTATTTGTTCCTGGTTGCGAATTACCAAGTGGTCTTGGTCGTGGATTACCATAGGCTCCGGGTGGTGGATTACCATATGTTGCTGGTGATTGATTACCATATACACCTTGAGGTTGATTACCATTTCCAACTTGGGGTTGATTACCATTTCCAACTTGGGGTTGATTACCATATCCTCTTTGGGGTGGATTTACATATATTTCTTGACTGGTATATACACCTTGAGATGGACTGCCATACCCAACTTGAGATGGATTTCCATTACCACTTTGGGATGGATTACCATATCCATCTTGCGGTCGATTACCATAACCACTTTGGGAAGGACCTCCATATTGTGGTTTACTTTGAACCATCAAGCATAACAATAAAGGCATCGATAGACATACAATCTGTTAAGTAAATTAAAATTATTATTACATTATAGATTATAAAACAAGCATAACATATATCCTCATTCTGAATTTATTTAAAAATATAGAATAAGGTCTAAATTTATTTACAGAATTAGAAAATTGTAATATTTATCATAATATACATTGTCAATGGCATATACATATGTTTACAGTTTTAAACTATATGCAATAAAAAATTCGCATAATTTCAGTTATTAGCAACGAACATTACATACATAGAGAAGAAACTAAACGGTTTTTGGTAAGAAATAAAAAAGATAACCTGTGATATATATATTAAACATGACATATTTTCCCCCATTTATTTCTAAAAAATATGGATTACTACTTGAATTAATAATACCAAATAGCAAAGCTTTTTTAATACCATCATAATCACAAATAGTTTTGTATGCAAAAAAAATGTGTTGAATGATCATGCTTATGAAGCATTTTAGAACTAGCACGAGTTATGGTACACCTTGAAAATAATCAGATTTCTGGAATTAAGAACATGTTTCAACATGCTAGCAATGAGTTTCTCAACGTTTTTAATAAATACAGTCAAACCCATCTGCACGGAACTTACCCAGATAGCAAAATAAGATTCATTTTCACTCAACAACCTTTTAATGTAAACCTAAAAAGGCATTTTATGTGGTTTACGTGTAAACCTTCTAATCTTAAAACGAGATTTGTGACAATCTGCTCTATTCTACGCACATTACCCTAATCCAAAACCTTGGAAAACAACCCTCTATATAATAATCTGAAAATCGAGGTTGTCTTATGGTTTTCAAGCGTGAAAGAATCTTTGAATAAAGCTAGTCCCAAGGTGAAAATAATCTTAAATCCAAGTTATTATAAGGTTTCTTTTCGGAACTTCTTGTAAGCTCCGCTAAAATCCACCTTGTCATGAAATTTTAATGAACAATGCAATTTGATCCTATCACTACCGTAAACCGGGGCGAGTCTACCCATTTTTTCAGTTTGTCAACTTTCAAGTGGCCAAACTTTTGTAAATATTAAAGAAAAAAGGCTTTTAATAGGTGTTTCGGAATCGCTATTTATCCCTCTTTAAAGCTGTGAAATCGATTTTAGAAAATATTAACAGTTACGCTGTTACTGTATATTTTTATAGAACTGCTGACAAATCTCTCGTATGGGGCGAGTCTACCCATTCTACTAAAATGAATGTTAACATTGTAAATAATCAAATTTTACTATTAAATTGTTATTTTAGTTACTATATAGGATATTTATGAAGTAAAATTCATAACTTTATTATATATTCCATTTTTTTATTCATAAAATAACACAAATTGAGTATTTGATCGATTATCACATTTTGATCACAGTTTTGTTTTTATAATCATTAACATTATAAAATAACATTTTTTTCTGATTATTGTTGATAAAAATAAATTAAAATTAATATAAATTTACAATTAAATAATTAATAAATAATAATAATTAAAGATTATTAACAAAATCGAAATTCAAACATTGGGAATCATGAAAAATCCTTTTCCCATTCTTTTGGGAGGTAATAATAATTTATAAATAATAATTTATTTAACTTGCATTAAATAAAAAAAGTTAATTTTGTAATATAAAAATTGAAAAAATAGGTAAAATAAACATATTTTATATTTACATTTATATTTAACCTATAAATTTTCTTATTAATGATAAATTTATCAATGCAGAATTAAAATAATATACTCAAATTCATTTAAAATGACTTAATTTTAATATAAACAAAGTTCTAAATTATATTATTATGCTTTATTAAAACTAAATACGAATGGGTAGACTCGCCCCGCGAATTCTGGCTTTTTGTTTACAACAGCAAAACTTACATTCTTTTTGTTTTTTTTCATATAAAATTAATGTAATCTTAGTCTTAGATAAGTTTATCACTTAACCAAAGTGAAAATAGTAATAATAATAATATACTTACGGAGCACCAACTAAAAGTTTGCTGATTTTCAATACAAATCTCTCAAAAGACGTTTGAACAGGTCGGTTAAAAAGACACCAAATAAATAAAAACGGATCAAACTACTACAGCGCCATCTTCCTTAGAGTCTGAACTAAGTCCTCCGTCGGTAAAAATTTTTTATTTGCAATTTAAAATAGTGAAAATTAAATAAAACTAAAATGGGTAGACTCGCCCCGGTTTACGGTAGTGTAACGTCAGCTAAAATGTCATTATAGATCTAAGTGACCATTTTACCTAAGTGACAATACTTTTTAAAAAAGCCTTAAGACTAATTTAGAACTTAAGGAAGAAAAAAAACTTTAAACTTTAGGATGAAAGGTTTGAAATTGCAATGTTTTTGCTTTATTGAAAAGAAGATTTTTGGTACAAACATTTTCGTGACATTAAAAGGAAAAGTGTGACACAAGGTTGCTGCAAGGTTACATGCTTTCTGGGTAGGATTTAATTGGTAGCAGGGAAGTTTTGCGGTCTTGTCTGAAATGCTGTTTAACTAATGCCATTTCATAAGTTTATAGCGAACTGAGAAATCTGTTGTTCGTATATTACGAACTCAAATTTCCTTTTTGCATACATTTACACAAATTGCTACAAACTTTTATTCCATGAGATAAGAAAAAAAAAGTACATAATTATGACTTTTAAATAAAATTGAAGTGATGCATATTATAAAGGAGTGTTTTGAATGAGTTATTTCGCTGAAATGATTAGGGCGAGTCGATCTAAAAATAAACATATAAGGAGAGCGAATTTGTTGCATAAAAATTCCATCTTTCAATTGTAACTTACTTCGAAAATAATAAAGATGAAGATTTAAAATATTCCGAAAACGATGAAGTTCTAAAGACATGACACTATAAAACAAGCATACAGTACATTATTGCAATTTTCTTAAACTATTTTTTTTTTTATTTAAAGAAAAGCAGTTATTTACTTACCAGCATTTTTGGGACGCACATCTTGAAACATTAGTGTCACTAATATGATAGAAAAGCTTTTGTTTTTCTAAAGTTTTTAATATTCAATTCTTAAGGAGTCGCATTAAAAGTTGAAAAATGCAAAAGGAAATATTTTAAATTAGGTCATATTTCTAGCAAAAGTCGTTGCATTGTGTTTATTATTGAAGGCATTTTTTTTTAAAAAAAGAATTATAATCAAATAAAAAACACGAGGCACCTTGAATAACAATGAAATCAGTTGTCTTTTATTTGCACACAAATATAACCCGTGTCAAACACTTCCTTATTATTTTGTGATCGAATATTTTCCTTTTGATTAAATAAGGCTAGAAATTTCTATGTTGAGGGTTGTTTAGGTTTTTCTAGAAAAACAGCAACCGAAAAAAAGCACGCGACGAAAAAACTTTAACAGTTCACACATCACATGAACTCAACGACCCATATAATATGAACTATACAACGAAATACGACCCATATAATATATATAATATGAGCTCAACGACCCATCTGTTTAGGGTCGGATTAAATTTTACTATGCAGGACAATAAACACAACGGCCGCCATATACATTTTAAGAATCTTTCAAAAATGATCAAGAAGAGGGATGCACATCGTAAATAAATACAGTCAAACCCTGTTAGAATGAACGTGATTTATAGTGAACTCCCGGATATAGTGAACGAAATGTTCGTTCCCATGCCTTGCTATACACATGTAATATTATTTTTTATGGATACAATGAACCGAAAGAAGAGAGGAAATTGGATATCGTGAACTTTTTTGTTTCTGCCACTGATTTTTTCTTAATTTTTTTGTAATTTTAAAATTTCTACATAAAATACCGGTTTTTAAAATCATCTATCGAGTGAAATGTAGCCATTAACATTTTTTCTTGATTGCTTCTTCTATCTCAGTTTCCCATACCTAAATGTTTTGTACGCAAGAGAAATAAAAATTAAAAGTTAAGACATATTTCGTTACTACATATTGTTTTTTAATCATTTTTGTATTTCTTTTTATTTGTCATTTATTCAAATAATGTGTCATAAAAGGGAGCAGTTCAGAAAATTTTTTTAAAATTGCTTGCGAAACAGATATAGTGAACTCCCGGTTATAGTGAAACGAAATTTCGGTCCCTTGAAGGTTCACTATAGCGGGGTTTGACTGCATTTAATGGAAGAAAAAAATCACTATCAAAATCATCATATCAAGAATGATATGAATTCAACGACTCATCTGTTTAGGGCCATTTAACGCGAATTGACTGTAATTTAGCTATTTATTGGAATATATAAGATATTAAAAGAATAATGAATTTGAAAAGTAATTTTAAATTTTTTAATTGTTTATTTCATATAATAGCATTATTAAAAATAATGTATCAAATAACAATCGATATACAGTCAAACCCCGCTATAGTGAACCTTCAAGGGACCGAAATTTCTGTTCACTATAACCGGGAGTTCACTATATCCGTTACGCAGGCAATTTCACTAATGGTTCCTAAACTCCTCCCTTTTATTACATTATATTCATATAAATGACTGAAAAATAATATGTAGTAGCAAAAAATGTGTTATTTTTCATCACTTTTCGTCTTGCGTACAAATAAAAATTAGTAATCTTTAGCTGATGAGCAATCCTCAACATCAGATATGGAAACACTTCCCGACTCTCAGATAATTTTTCCTGAATTTCTGTTATTCCGCTTTTTAAACCTGTCTAACCTGCCATTCGAGCACATAAAAGTAGTTTCTATAGATGGTTTTAAAAATCGGTATATGTATTTATTTTGAAGTAGAAATTTCAAAATTATTACAAAGAAAATGGGGGGGAAATCAGTTGAAGACAGAAAAAGTTCATTATATCCAACTTCCTCACTTTTTTGGTTCACTATATCCACAAAAAATAACATTATACGCGTATAGCAAGGCACGGGACCGAGCATTTCGTTCACTATATCCGGGAGTTCACTATAAGCCGTGTTCACTATAGCGGGGTTTGACTGTATTATAAAGATG